GCACTCCCCCGGCCCTGCACCCTGACCCTGCGTGCTGGGGACTCAGATCCTGCACCCCCAGGGTGCTCCAGCCTGCCCGAGGCTGGAGGTGCTGCCAGGGCCAGCATGACCGGGGTGATGGGGGCACCTGACTCTGGGATGCCCGGAGGGGCCCTGGGGCTTCCTCCTCTCTCCAGACTCCTGTGCATCCCTGGCTCCCACAGTGCAGGGCTTCCCAGCAGCCTCCTCCCTGCTTTCCTTGATTTTGGTCTGACCATGGGGCTTTTGGCTCTCCAGGGTGTTGGCTGATGCTATGGGAGCTGTGGTTCATGCAAGGCAGGCAGCACCCTGTTATCCTCCATGGGGAGCACAGCATCTTCGGAGTCTTGTCCCCAGAGAAAATCTAATAGCATGAAATGTAATGTTTTTCACCAAACTGGGCACCAACTCTTGGAAGGGACAGTAGAATTCAGCTGATTTATTTTAGTTGTGAATTGTCTTCTGTCAGAAAATTAATTAAAGTCATTCCCATCCACGAAAGCAGCTGTTGGGTTCCTTAGCAGATCCCCAGGAAGTTTGGTGTGACCAATTCTGCCTTTGATGGCTGTGTTCAGTTGTAGCAAGGAATACTTTTCACAGGTTTCAAAATATTCTCTTCTTTTTTTCCATTTGTTTCTTTTCCTAAAGTGATCCAAGCAGAAAAAAAAAAAAAATCTTCAATTTTTTTTCTAATATTTTCACAGAGTTAAAAACTGAAGAATTTTGCTGGCCATGGAAATTTTTTGGTTTGATCATTTCACTCAAATTTTTACTTTTGACCTTCTGTGCTACGTTTTGCTAAGATTGGCTTTAAAGTTTAAAAGAAAAATCTTTAAAAGAAAATTCCTCCATCAAGCCAGCAAAGCAAAGCCACTCATTTTTAGCATGTCATGACTAAATACATCAGTCTTTAAAAAAGGAATCAAAATGCTTGCTAACACGAGGTGCTTTCCAGAAAATGTTTGATTATAATCTCACGCGATTTTCTATTGAAAAACCCACATTTTGACCAAAACCCCCTCATTTATAGTTCTGATCAACCAGCAGCTTATATAACCCCAGTGCTACCCACAGCCAGAGCACGTGTGGTGTGGGATGGGAGTAAAGGCGAAGGATGCTGAGCCTGATCAGGCACCTTGGAGTCAAAAAACACTGGAGTTCTGATGGTGAGGGTGATCCTCATGTGAAAGACCTGCTGGGTTTGTGCGTGCTCAGCACAAAGAGATTTTTCTAGCTAGCCTGGAGCTCCCATGGCAATCAGACACCCGGGCGTGAGCGGTGTCTCCTAATTTTTTCTTGCCAACAATTAGTCTTCCTTAATAATTAATGCAACTGTGTTTTCTCTCTGCTCCTCCAATTACCTCTGGTTATTAATGTCACTTCTTGGCTTCGAAGTGGGATCTCCTTCCCTCACAATAGCGTTGGGGTTTTTGGTTTCAGGGAGGGTGGTGGGGGTGGTTGGTCCCGGGAGGGGGATGTGCTGCACGTCAGTGCCTGGCCCAGCACACGGGCACCAAGCAGGCAGCACTTACCGGGGGGTGGGCACTCAGCAGAGCTGCAGTTTAGCAAATTTGAGAGGCAAAAAGGCCCTCCAGGCTTGCAAACCCCATCCTGCTACTCCGTCCCCTCTGGAAATACCGTTCTGCTGTTGCTGAAAAGGTGTCTCTCCATTTCTGTACGAGGGTGTGGCTGCACAGCTCATTCTCCCACCTGCCCTCAAAGGGCTGTGCTGGAGAGGTGAGGCAAAGCTGTCCTTGGAGCCCTTTCATGACCCCCCATGGCTGCTGAAGGACAAGAGGTGACAGCTTGGGGTTGGGCTGTGATCCTGGGCACCAGCTGTGTTATTCTGGGGGGTGGGCAGTGAGCAGCTCTGTCACTGCAGCTCTGGGCTGTACTGAAACCCAGCTTTGGGGAAGAGACAAAAAAAGATGCTTCACCAAACCACAGCAGATCCCCATGAAGTCCCAACCAGCAGCACCCCACGTCCTCCCAGGGGACCTGCTGGGAGGACACCAAACCACTGCCCTCTTGTTAAACCTCCACTTGGAAGAAAACATTTACATCAGGTTATTTTTATGGCGTAAAACACTGTCAGCTGCTAAGTCCTGGCTTTGAAAAGCCTCTTCAAGGTTCAGGTGCTGCAGCTGATCTGCAGGAATGCAGTCTAGATCCTTGCAAAAAAGAGGAATCGATCCCATTTCTCTGGCATATGGATTTCTATGAGCCAGGTGTGGTTTCACAGCACAGCTGTGGGAAGACAAGGAGCTGCAGTCCTGGCCATGGACCACAACCATTAGCAGCTGTGGTGTTTGAACTGGGGACCAGCACTGGAGGAGTTCTCTCTGTTTCTCCAGATGTTTGTGCAGCATTTCCTTGTTCCCTTGGTTGGCTCGTTCTGTGACAAACTCCTTAATGGAGGAAGGGGGAGGGGGATAAACAGCCTCTTGCAGAAATTTTTCTGGCCTCCTTCCTGAGCAACCTTCCCCACCAGATCTTCATGGCTTTAGAGAGCAGAAAAGTTTTTGAGTGAGGCAAGGGCAAATGTAGAAGGGCCATGGGGATGGCAGCTCCTGCTGTTGCAGCATCTTGTTTGCCATCTGAACCAATGGAAAATCTGAGTAGCCGAGTGCAACCTTCTTGTAACACCAGGTTACCATAGAATAACAGAATGATTTGAGTTGGAAGAGACCTTAAAGCTCATTTCATTCCATCCTCCCCTGCCATGGGCGGGGACACCTTTCACTGGCCCTGTCCAACCTGGCCTTGAACACTTCCATGTTCTGCTTTGATGGGAAGCAGGACAGTCCATGCCTTTGCAGTAAGCAGCTTTGCTCTCTGCTTTTCCCTGTGGAGGTATCCTGTGGATCAGCATCAGGACTGTTCCTCTGCAGCTGTAGTGGTCTGTGTCTTCTGTCATTGCTCTGAGAGCTGTTCTCAGTCATCAGGCAGCAAGGCTGGCTGGTGGCTGGTGCTGTGCTTTGGATCAGGCACGAGGCAAATGGAAAGGAAAGATCTACCCTGCTTTGAACAGCAGAAATGCTCAAGTTTAGTTTTCAAAACAGCCCATCACGGAGCTCGTTCTGCTCCAGTGTCATGTTCAAATGTACATGTAAAACAGCATATCCCTCATTTGGGCTTTGTGGCTCTTAAACAAGCTCAGCCAAAGCTAATTTTAGAAATATCACTGAAAAGCTATTCTTTGTCTCATTTCATGGCTAAGAATAGAAAAAGCTCAGAGCTCCAAACATGTATTTAAGTAAGCAGGAGCCAGCCCAGCACCACTCTCAGTGGGAAAACCACACAACCCATGGCCCTGCTGCAGGACAGGAACACCTGCACACCAGTCTGTGCTGGGAAGGGGGGTTACATTCCCACTATCCCACTGTACACAGTAAATCTACCCCTGTTAAGCATCAGGAATTAGGGTATTCATTCATTCTCAAATGCAAACCTGCATGCCTTTTGGTTTTCATTTGCATGAGCAAACCTTTGTGGGAAAGACAGATGTAAAGTGGCTTCTCCATCGGCCTGTTTTCCTTTACGCTTCATGGGTTTCCTTCTCAGAGCAGGGATGCAAAACACAGGACTTGCCCAGGACTCCCTTTCTGCTGTGCAAGCAGCTTGGAGCAGCTGGGAGAGGTCCAGGACAAGTCAACCAGAGCCCTGTCTCCGTCTGTGCCACCTCCACCAAAGCCAACTGGAGCTCCGTGCTCATTCTGCCTGAGCAAAATCATTACCAAAGTGAAAGGCACCAGTGAATCGAGTCCAGGGATCCTAAATGACTTGTCAAAAGTCACACAGCAAATCATCTGCAGTCCCTGGTGGAACCAGAGATCTGGCTGGCAATGCCCACAGCTCTTAGCCCCTGCAGAGCTGTCTGACCTGCTCTGTTGCCATTTTCTCCCCATTTTTGTCTGTCTGTCCTGTTTCTCTTTCTGGATTTATCTGGGACAAATCCTAACACTCCACCACCAAGGCTTTGCCCTGTCAGTTTGGGCTTAAAGGCAACCCTGGGCGAAACCAGACATGTAGGGAGCAGTGCGAGACGCTCGGGGCGAGGAGGCTGGTGTGGATGGCAGAGAGTGAGAGAGAGTGTGTGTGTGTGTGTGTGTGTGTGTGTGTGTGTTTGTGTTTGGTCCTTACAGCTGTGCAGCTCTTTGGAATAGGTTCCCCTCTCTTTGCTCCAACACACAGAAGTACTTCCCATTATGTTCACCAAAAAGAGCCTTTTACAAGGTGTTGGGCTCCGACGGCCACACCGTGTTTAACCGGGGCAGCTGCAAGAGGAGACAGGTTTTTCTTTGCTTAGTGTCCTGGGTTTGATGCATCCCCAGTGCTGCCTCAGCTCCCCCTGGTCCTTCTCCCTGAGCGCTGGACCTCAGTCCAAGGGGGATTTCAGCCCAAGGGCTCGCTGGTGACCACGTCATGTTTTCAAAGGCGTTGCCCTCAGTGTTTAGTGGTGGCCTTGGCAGAGCTGGGTTAATGGTTGGACTTGGTCTTTATAAGGACTTTTCCAACCTATATGATTCTGTGTCTGTGCCTGCATGAGAGCCCTGGTTAGGAAAGCCCAAGCATGGTTTTGAGTGAATGTGAAAGATGTGCGAGTCCAGATTTAGACCCTGTGGTAGCACACAGCAGAGAACAAGAGCACTGCATTGGGTAACATGCTTGTAGCATTCATCCTGGAATAAAAGGTACTGGAAATGAATTAAAAAAAAGTTCTGAATTTTGAAAACTTCATGCTGATTTTATCTGTTTTCCACCTATCCATGTAATCATATCCAGCTGTTGTCCCTGCTTCATTTATGGATTTTTCTAGCAGGGTGCTGTAATGTTGATTTAGTGATTTGTTTAGTGTTTTTAGTCATTCCCAGCCTCACCTCTGATCACAGGACTGCAAAGGGCCTGGACTCGATTCCCTGGCCCTTTTTGCTGATGGATCCTGATGATTTCTGAGTGCTCTCCCTCCTTGTGTCTTGCAGTCCAACAAAGTTCCCGTCGTGCAGCCGTCCCACGGAGTCCACCCGCTCACCCCGCTCATCCCGTACAGCAACGACCATTTCAGCCACGGCTCCCACTCGCCCCACCTGCCCGCTGACATCAACCAGAAACAAGGTAGGGGCAGTGCTGGGGGCCTGTGTGGTGGGAGGGGGACAGTGCTGGAGACCACTGAGGTGAAGGTTGTCACCTTCCTGGTCCCAAATCAGTGAGAAAAGTCAAGAGCTGGGGTGTTGCTCAGCAGTAGCAGGTTATTTCTCTTATTGGCAATGCCTTGTAATCCTGGGCAAGGGCAGTTTGGTATCCAAAGTGCCAGCCCTGCTGATGGGGTGAGTTCAGCTCTCTGTACAAGCTGTCCTGTACCTTGAGACCGGAGCAGAGGCTGCGCGGTGATGCGCGAGAGTCAACCAGAAAATGGAAAGTAATCTTTCCTTTGACTCATACCCAAACTGTTGTCAGGTTGTCGTTTTGAGAAAATAAATGCTTGAAACAGGAAATATTTTGACTAAACAGGATCGGTGTCTGATAGCTGACTGGATTGTGACATGTGTGTCCCCGTAGCCGCACGTTGTGTGGTTGTCACACGGTTTGGCTCTTTGGGTTCCTGTGTGAGCTCAGGCCATGTCAGCTGGCTCTTGAGGCTACAGAGGAAAGTACAGTAGGCAGAGGTTAAACCCTGAACTGTAAAACATACCCTGAACTGTGAAAGACAGGTATGTGCAGAGGAATTCACCCCAGTTTATCGTTCCATCATTCTTCATGGGTTACTGGCAAAAGTGAGTGTAAAATCAAACTTTTCTCAACCTTACATTAGTGCAGAACTTCTCTTCAGATTATCCAGGCTTTTACACAACCATGATCTTGATTTCGTGGGAAAGCAAGCAAATTCACAGTTTTGTATTCAGGAAGGAGTTCAGAGCCCATCAGAGCCCAGAAATCAGTGCCAAAACAGAGGCACAAAACCAACTGTTGTGATTTGGGCAAAGGCCTCCACCCAGGAGAGATCCAAACTGTCCTGGAGGCATCGGCTTCACCAAGTTAACACTGTTGATAAAACAATGGGCTGTCAAGGATGCTTTTGGCTGAGTGATCCCTGGTCTGAACCCAGGGGCCACGTTCTGGACTCACCAGGGATGGCAATGGGTAGGATTTAGGTGTAAGAGATACCCAGGCACATCCTGGTTGTCATCCAGCCAGCACTTTGCTTGTCAGCCACCAGAGCATAATAAACTCAGCAGAAAAATTGGAAGAGTTAACAAAATAAACCTGTTGAAGCTCAGCTAGCGGCAGAGTTTGAGTCTCGAGAGGAAGACTGCAGATTTCTGAGTCTGCAGGGAAGGTGACCCGACACACCCTCCTTCACTCTGCCTTGGCAGTGCCTGGCAGAGCCCTGCCCCTTGCTGTGAGTTGCCTCCTGGGACTCACTGCCTGCCTGGGAAGCCTTGAGCAGCACAGGAGCAGATCACCCAAGGGATGAGCTGATTGTGTCCCTCTGTGGAGGCTGCAGTTGGCACTGGGGCAGTCCCTGAGCGTTCTGTGGTGGGTCAGTAACTCTGGGAAGCTGTCCTTGGGCTGCCCACCCAGGTGTGCCCTCAGTGCAGGCACTGTCCAGTCTCCCCTTTCCCGTGTATCCTGTGCATTTACAGACACGGGGAGTCTGTCCCTCCCAGAGACCCCCAGGTCCTATTTGTGCAGAGGTTCAGACCATCATCCTCAGCTGGGACCTGCCTCCGTGGTGCAGCTGGGATCACGCCCCATCCCTGTATTGCTGGGCGAGGGTTTTCTTCCCTGTTCCTTCTGGATGTGTCCCATCTCTGTTTCCATCACTGAAATAGCTCCCATTATCACCCAGTGTAAGCACTTGAGAGTCACCATCATACTCATTCTCCCAGCATGCCTTTAACGTATTCACAGTAGCCCAAGGACACACAGACAAGGAAATACAGGCAGGAATTCTGAGTCAGTGGTTGGTGCCCCAACCACTGGGCCAGCAAGAATAACTTGTGCTCTGGCTTATGCAACTTGCACTGTTGGAGGTGCAAATCTCAGGATATTCCAGCAGCTGCCTGACGTGAGTGCTGGTTTTGTTTGACCCTCAGAGGGCTGCTGAGTCCCACTTGAAGCAAATCTCATACTAAGTTATATATTCCTTTCAGGTCAGTTATATATTTATTTTAGCTACCTCCTGATAAGATGCTTGGAATCTGTTGGTGTCATTCCTAATTAATAATTAATCATTACTACACATAAAAAAATAATCCAGACTTCTGAGTTTGCAGCTGCTTGCGACTCATCGCCAATTTATTCCATGTATTCATCACCCAGGACAGCCAGTGGACAATCCCTGTCCCCAGTTTTTGTCTGAGGCTGGGTAGCAGCCAGCGTTACACCCCTGTGCAACAGAGCTCAGCCCCAGTGCCCCTCCAGTCTCCCAGTGCAGGGGTCAGCTGGAGGCTGTTCCTGCCAGCAGCTCCCTGGTTGTCTGAGTCCCACCCTCAGCCTCAGGCTCTGCAGGATGTTTTCCAGTCCAGGTGGAAAGGGAGCCGTGCTGGGCTGTGTCCCCTGGCCGTGCTGCCCGTGCCAGCGGCTTTGAAGATCCCACAGGGATTCCCCGTGTGAAGGGTGAATTCCCAGCTGGCACCATACCCACCTCCACAGTTCCTTGGCACCCACAGAGCCCACGGAACAATTGTTTTGAACTCAAATTGTTTAAAATGGAGATAGAAGTGGTGCCTGCTGGAGCATCCCCACTGCCTGCTCACGGGGGGTCCCGCGGGTGACTGATGGGGACGGGGCATAGGAACAGCTTGGACCATCCATTGAGCACCTCATGAGGCTCTCTGGGAAGGGCAGAGGGATGTCTGGAGTCAACTAAATCCTTGGCAAAGCAAGTTGCTGCTTGTTCTCAGGGTGGCATGGAGCAGGGATGATGCTTGTACAGGAACGAGCTGCATTCCCCACCACCTTACCCGAGTTGGTGATTCTGCAGCAACATGAGTGACCCACCACATCCCCACAGAGAGAACCACAGCAAATAAAGGGGAATTGCAGTATCCTGCCACTTGCAGACAGATATTTCACATATATATGGCCTGCTGGACAAGTGTCCAAAGATGAAGCAGCCAGGGGACTGGGCTGGGAGTGGTCCCTGCCAGCCGGGGGATGCGGTGCTGGGTCCAACTGATCTCCTTCTCCCTTCTTCCAGGAGTGCACCGTCCTTCCCAGACGTCAGACATCCCTGGTTTCTACCCCCTGCCCCCTGGAGGAGTGGGACAGATCACGCCCTCGATGGGATGGTGAGTGAGGAGGGCTCTGCCCACACAGCCCCACCCGCCGGACGCTCCGCACGGACGGGTCACTGAGCACCCACAGTGCCCTCCCTGACCTCCACGGTGCTTCATCCCCCCACAGCTTCATCCCTCCTGTGTGCTGGGGGAACAGGCAGAATTTAGTCCTGTGTCACACATGGGGAGCAGATGCGTGGAGAGGCTGAGGGATTCATCCCAGCACCCCTGGAGAGGTGTTACAACCTGCCTGAGCCAAAACTGTCTGCTGCCTTACATCCAACTACCTGTGTGGATTAGGGAATCCAGGGAGAGCTTCCTACCTATCCCTCCTAATCCCAGCAAAAGTTTCTCTCTTGAGCGGGAGGTAATTTTCTCCCTTGCTGGAGTTTGCGGCACAAACAGTGCTTTTCCTTAGCCTGCCACCAGCACAGTGTAATCCTGTGGGATGATCTATCTGCCAGGCCATGGTGTTTCTTAGGGTCTGACACACAAGGAAGAAGTACACCATGGCAGAGACCTGCCCAGCAAACGACCCCAGTACCCACAGCCTGGCCACAGCACTGCTGGCTCAGTGGGAACTGCTGTCCCAGTGGGGATGGGGAAGGAGGGACCATGAGCTGGAGTGCTCCCAAAATGTCCCTCCTGCATGGGCCAGCCCTGAGGAGCATCCTGCAAAGCAGAGCCTGTTGGGAAACCTGCCCCAGGCACACAAGTTAAAAATACACCAGTGTGTGCCCTGTGGTCGTGTCCCCTGGCTGTGTCCCCGTGACCGCGAGCGCGCCGGGGGAGCGGGGCTGGCCGGGGGAGCGGGGCTGGCCGGGGCTGCCGTGGGGGCATCGTCACTCCTCGGGTTAATTTTTAGCCCCCATTGAGGACACGGAGGCGTGACAGAGGCTGACAGAAAGGGTGGTGGCTGCAGGTGGCAATTCAGGGTGGTCAGGACAGGGAAAAAGAGTGCAGGGAGGGTGATCATGGGGGCAGGTGGCCAGATCCTCCCAGTGCTGAGGGATTTTTATCAGCAAAGCCCCACAGAGAGCTCCAGGTACAAGAACCAATTGCAGAATGGGAGAGGGGAGCTTTTTGCTTTGTTTTGTTTATGAATTTCGTGTTCCAGATATTTAACCACAAGGAAACAGGAGCTGAGGCCTTTGATACAGAGTTCGGCTTCAAAGAGATTACATTTCACCTTCTGTGCTAAATCTGTTACTCTTGGGTGATGATTTAACTCCTCAGATGATGTGATTCATCCTCAGGGAAAACAAGGACTGGGGCGACTGTGCTGTAACATGAAAGAAATAGTTGGGAGATGGAGAGAAACGAGCCTCTTTGTCAAAAGGAAGGTCCACTCCTGGGATGGGACAGTGTTGTTCAGGCAGCCCTGGGAGAATGGAGTTAGAGCAGTGTGGCTGTTGTGGAGATTTTGTGGGGTAGTTGGTGGTAGAGGGAGTTTGCATGGCTGAGAGCTTCTTCAGCATCCACAGGGTTTGGCATCCTCAGATGCCTTCATTAGTGACTAATAGAGCAGATATGGTAAAGCAACCAACGGCCTGACATGCAGAGAGCAGCACCTCGAGGCACATGTGCCTAATAGAGCTTTTGCTCGTTCTTTTCCTTGCCTAAACTTTATGGAAAGAGCCTCAAACCCACTCCTGGAGTGCCCAGTTTTCAGCTGAGGCTCAGCATACCAGTGTCGGCACCAAATCCCGTCAGGTTCGTGGCAGCAGGGGCTGTGTGCCAGGGATGGTCATGCCAAGGATGCATCCCAGAGAAGCTGTGGCTGCCCCATCCCTGGAAGAGTTCAAGGCCAGGTTGGACGGGGCTTGGAGCAACCTGGGGTAGTGAAAGGTGTCCCTGCCCATGGCAGGGGAGTTGAAACTGGATGGTCTTTAAGGTCCCTTCCAGCCCAATCATTCCATGATTCTGTGCCTGTGCCAGTGCCACCAAGTCAGCTGCTGAGCCAGGATGGCCACACACAGGAAGCAACTTTTCCTGCACGAGCTGGCAGGCAGGAGTTGAGCAGAAACGGGTTTTGTTCTCACCGAGCGCTTCGGGAGGAGGAGCTGCAATCACTCTCTCTGTTATTAGCTGGGATGACAGTCGGATAAAAGCCTCCGAGAGTCCAGTCAAGTGAGTTTTGCTCATGGAGCCTGGCAGTTCGCCTTGGCCAGGAACCTGCACATGGTGTGACTCTCCTGTGCCCTGGGCAGAGTGTGTTGGTGCCCTGGCAGCCCCGGCACTGCCATCCCATGGCTGTGTCTGAGCTGCCCTCCCAGCATCTGTGATAGTGTGCAGATACTGAGAGAGCTGGAGCTGTTCAGCCCGGAGAAGAGAAGACTCTGAGGAGACCTCACAGCCCCTTCCTGTACACAAAGGGAGCTTATAAAAAAGGAGATGGACTTTTTATATGGGCAGATAGTGATAGGGCAAGGGGGAACAGTTTTAAACTGGAAGAGGAGGGAGTTAGATTAGATACTAGGAAGAGGTTCTTTACTCAGAGAGTGGGGAGGCCCTGGCACAGGTTGCCTAGAAAGGCTGTGGATGTGCCATCCTTGGAGGTGTCCAAGGCCAGGTTGGACGGGGCTTGGAGCAACCTGGGCTAGTGGAAGGTGTCCCTGCCCATGGCAGGGGGTGGAACTGGATGAGCTCTAAGGTCCCTTCCAGCCCAAGCCGGTCTGTAATTCCATGACACGGGCTGCAGTCGTGCATTCCCAACCATCAGGGGCTGATTTCACAGCTGCACTAATTTGCACGTCAGAGGGACTTCGGATGAAGCTGCGAGTGCCCCACTCTGTTCCTGTCCCGGTGTATCCCAGCCTCTGGAGTAACGCAGGTCGCTTCTGGATTAGCTCCGAGTGTTTTCTCGGCCCTGGGGCAGCCGCCTCCAACTTCAAAGGCTGTTTGGGTTTCCCGGTGCGGCGGCACTTGGCTGTTTGTTGGTGTGTTTATACCCGCCGACATCTAAGGGGTGGGAGAGGGCTCCTGCCTGGCAGGGTGTAAACAGCCCCGCCGCCCCGGCTCCTTCCCTGCACACAGATCCTGCAGATTTCGGTCAAGCCGAGGCACAGCAGCTCCCTGAGCTCCCTGGGCAGCTCCTTCCTGCCCAGCGTGGCTCAGGGGCCTGACTGCTGCCCCACTGTCATTGTTCCTCTGCAGGGCACAAACTTGTCTTTGGCCCTGAAAAATCCCAGGCACCCCAGAGCTCGGCCCTTTGCAGGGCACCACACTTGATGATAGTGGACTTTTGGTGGGGTTTTTGGTTATTAGAGCTGAAAATAGCTGGTGCTGGTTTTAGGCACAGCTCTGTGCAGCCCAGCCAGAGGAGCATGAGCACCAGTGCAGGTGTAAGCACCCCATCGTGCCCCAGGTTGGACAGGGCTTGGAGCAACCTGGACTAGTGGAAGGTATCCCTGCTCATGGCAGGGGGTAGAACAAGATGGACTTTGAGGTCCCTTCCAACCCAAACCACTCTGTGATTCTATAATCTCAGTTTCCATGTGCAGTTTTAGGCTGGAAGCATCTTTTGGTGGGTTTGCAGAACAAGCCAAGGTATTTTTGAGCTATTTCCATATGAAAATGTGGGGGTTCCCTTGCTGGGAACAACAAGGAACTTCCTGCATAGTTATTTTACTATCTCAGAAATAATTTCCAGCTCCAGGTCTGGTACATGCCCAGTCCCCAGTATGAAAGCACTTTGAAAAGGAATGAGCTTTTGGCTGTTTAAAACTGATGGGCATCCTTGAAATTATATGCTGGGGAAATCAGAGTATCCCTGAATACAAGAGAGTAGGTACTTTTTCTCCAGACATCAGGAAGTTCCATGATCACAGAATCACAGAATGGGTAAAGCTGGAAGGGACCACAGAGGGTCATCTGATCCAACCTCTCTGCTCAAGCAGGGCAATCCCAGAGCACATGGCAAAGGATTGCATCCAGATGGTCCTGGAATATCCCCAGTGAGGGAGACTCCACACCCTCTCTGGGCAATCTGTTCCAGTGCTCAGTCACCCACACAGTAAAGAAGTTCTTCCTCATGTTCATCCTCCTGTTGCAGCCTCTTGTGCACTGCACAAAGACTCTGACCAGGCTTTAGGTTTTTGGTCAAGCTGTGCTCTTTTTAGCAACTTCTTCTGTGCAACAGCAGCTGATTTTTCAGCACACACCTCTGCATTTTGCATTTTAACCAGATAAACTCAAAGCTGCAGAGCTGCTCAGCACCAGGGTTGGAAGGGGGGTCAGAATCGAATCCAACCTTTGTAGGAAGGCCCAGGTTCTCTCAAAATAATGTCCAAGTCCTGCAGGGCCCCTTGAATCCAAAGGACAGCCTGAGTGTCCTGCCAGCCAGGGGCATCGGTGCTCCGAGTCCCCTTAGCAAAGGATATCTTTAGGAAACACCACGTAGCTGTGGATACTTTATAGCCTCTTTCTTCCTGATCCCAGGCAGAGCCAGTCTGTCTATCCGCTCCCGTCATGTGGATTTAGACAGCCGTACTCGTCCGCGCTTTCTGCTGGGGCTTCTTTCTCCAGGTGAGTATGAGCTGTGTGACACAGGGCAGCAGCTCGGCTGCTCTCGCAGCTTGCAGTGTGTGCAGCAGGAGCTTGCAGCAGACCACGGCCCCCAGGGACAGCCACGCACCCGCCCCGGGGCAGCCGTGGGGAGAGAAGGCGCTTTGAGGCAGTGTCTGGTCCAGAGGGTGCTCGGGGGAACATCGAGGATGAAGGATGCAGAGCAGTTGGGTTTTAACAGAGCAGAAGTCTAAACAGAGCCAGAAACCCCAGCCCTCAGCTCAGCATTGGGAAAAAGGGCTGGAATCCACTGCTCAGGATTTTGCTCTGTGCCACTGACCCTAATCCTGGATGTTTCCCTGCTGCCACCACCACTGAGCTTTGCTCTGCAGAGGCCCCTCTGTTCTCCTGGTCTCAGCTTTAAAAGCAGGACAGGCCATGGGCAGTGATTTGCTGCCCTCCCATCGGGCACAAGTCAGTTCTGTGAGACAAAAGCACAGCTTCTGCCTTCAGGTGAGCACAGTACATCCCCTGTGGATGGGCATGACAGAGCCCAGCCCTTCCAGGTGTGCTGCTGGGCAAAGCCCCCGTGGCTCTGTAGGGGTGTCTGGGCTCATGCACCAGCTTTTGCTTCTGCTTCATGTTGTCCTGAAGAGCTTTTAGTGGAGATTTCCCACAGGAAAACCAGGCAAACCCTCACTCATGAGAGCCCTTAGCCATGCAGAAACCTGGAACCATGCAACCCTCGATCCATGCCATTCATCCCCCATCCATGGAGCCCCTAGTCCTGCAGAAGAGGGGAGGGAGCGCTGCCAGCCCTCCTTGCTCACGAGGCATCAGCCTTGCACAGCCTCGAAGGCGAAGGCAAGAGGAGCTAACGGTTCCCCCCGGAGCCCCAGCAGCCTCCCCGAGCTCCTGCTTGCAGGATTTTGGGGTGGATTTTGCAGCAGTGCTGCAACCGAGAAAGTACACCTGGTCAGATAAGGATCAGACTGTGCTGGTGGATTAAATTAAACAGCTTTTCTTTTCGTGCCAGCATATCTAATGAACAGTTCATCTCCCATGGGCAATTCTGCCATCTCAAGCTGCAGTCATAAAGTGGCAAGCTTGGCAAAGCTGACTGTGCTGGCTTTACCCTCCAAAACTCCGGAGAGAGCTAATGAAGCCTGAGAGCGAGCAAGACCTCTCATGATCTCAGCCTGTGTTGTGGAGAGCATTGCTCAGGCAAGGTGCACCTCCTAGAGTTGCAGTCGGGTTCGTGTTCAGACTTAGGCTGTTTCTGTTAAAAGGAAGGTGTGGGGTGGTCCTCATCTCTCCCATCCAAAGCCCCGGTTGAGCTTGTTGTTTCTTTGTGCAGTGCTAATAAGATATTGCAGCAACAGAGATCTGAGTAGCTGAAGCTGCTGGTTGGAAGTGCCCTGGACCTCGGCCAGGCCGGCTCCCGCTGCGGGCGGTTCCCTCGCCGTGGCACCGGATCCTTTCCAGCCGCGTGCCCACAGGGGTGACCCGGGGTGGTGGGCACTGCCCACCCCCCGCCAGCCTGGCAGCACCCACGTGCTTTCCGTGTCCTCTGCTTTCCGTCCGCTTCCGCCACGTCCGAGTGCCATCCCGTGAGACAGCCCTGGCACGGCACAGCCCCCCCGGCACGGCTCACCCGCTCTCTGTTGCAGGTTCACCCACCCGCTGATGCTGGGCTCTGGCATGCACACCACCGGCATCCCGCACCCCGCCATCGTGCCCCACTCCGGCAAGCAGGACATGGAGCACTATGACCGAAACATGTGAGTTGGAAGTGCGGGCAGGGCTCGTGAAACGGCACCTTGGCAACCATTTCAATTATCCCTCTTAATGCCCCTTTGGGGGCAGGGTGGGTGAACACCGAGCTCTGTCTGCACCTGAGGTGCAGAGCTCTGGCCCCCCACTGTCAGGTTGGTTTGAGGGGCAGTTTTCTGCTGAGCCAGGCTGGGGGATGGCTCTGATGCTGACAGCTCCTCCTTTGGTCCCACCAAGGAAACCTCAACCAGAACCAAAGAGAGAGAAGGAAGCCAAGAAGCCCACTATCAAGAAGCCCCTGAACGCTTTCATGTTGTATATGAAAGAAATGCGGGCAAAAGTCATCGCCGAGTGCACCCTGAAGGAGAGCGCTGCCATCAACCAGATCTTGGGAAGGAGGGTGAGAGCTCGTGGGGCCCAGCACCACCCCCCCCCAGTGCCACATCCCCGTCCCTTGCAGATGCTCTTCAGCACGTAACAAGCATCTGCTTCAAGGCTGGGTGCTCTTATCCCTCAAACACGCAGGCTCGGGTGTGCCCCGGGGCGGGATGGCCGTGGTGGGTGGGCTGGGAGGGGGCAGGGGGGCCGTGTCTCACTGCTCTGTGTGTGTCCCTGCAGTGGCACGCGCTGTCCCGGGAGGAACAGGCCAAGTACTACGAACTGGCTCGCAAGGAACGGCAGCTCCACATGCAGCTCTACCCTGGCTGGTCTGCCAGAGACAACTACGTGAGTGCCCGCCCTGCTCGGGCCCCCTTCCCTTGGCATGGCCCCAAATGACCCCGGGGGTGACAGCTGGTGTTTGCCAAACAGCCTGCCTGGCACAGGCAGTGTCGCTCCTGGTGGCACCAGCGCTGTGGGAATTCACATTTGAGGGGTATTTGGAGCACCCTCCTGGTTTATTGCCTGTCTATAGGATGAATGGTACAGCCCCAGCTACCACAGGTGTTTGTCTGCTTATTGTCCAAGCAAATACAAGGAGTAAGGAAGAGGAGCTTTGAAGTGATGGGGATGGTCCTTGGAAATACAGTTTTACAGAAACATAAAACATCTTGGGCAGCAGCTGAGGTATCTGTGAGGGTGGTAAGGGAGGGAGGTTGCCCAGAGAAGCTGTGGCTGCCTCATCTCTGAAAGTGTTCAAGGCCAGGTTGGACACGGTTTGGAGCAACCTGGGCTAGTAGAGGGTGTCCCTGCCCATGGCAGGGGTTTGAAACAGGATTGTAGGATATATTTAAGGTCCCCTCCAACCCAAACCATTTTAGTATTCTGTGGTTTAAAATAGTGGATATTTTTGAAAAGGGTTTTTCCTTGTGACTTTCCTGACTGTTGTGCCTAATGAGCTCGTTAGAGACCTGAAGAGAAGCACACATAAGTCTTCAGAGGTCTGTCCATCCACTCAAGGACTCTGTCCCTTTGATCTAAGGCTCCATCATTTCCCTCACAGACAGTTTCTTTCCCCTGGGAGCTGCCCAGTGAGCTCCCATCCATCCCACACTGACCACAGCCCTCCTTCCAGAAAGCCCAAACTCCACCAAGGGCAGGAAAACACCCTTAAAGAGCCCAAACCACCCCGAAACCCCCTAAAAAACAGAGGGCAGAGATGATGCAGAAAAAGCAGAGGTGAGGGGAAACCCCCAGCCCACATTTTGGTGGGCACACATCTGGAGGACATTAACACCTGGAGGGCACGGCACCAAGACCAAGCACACCCTCCATGGAAATCTCAACCTGTATCATCATTCATCTGGTTCCTTGGGGAATCACGGGCTGGTTCCTTGCTCCAGAAGATGGATATTGGTCCTCCCAGCATTGCAGACCAGCTGGTTTGGGTGTTGTGGTTGTTGAAGAGATGCTTTTCTCTGCGGAGCTTGAGCAGGGAGGAGCAGGAGGAGAAGGAGGAGGAGGAATGTAGGTCACTTCTGCAGCACGTGATGCGGATATTGGGCAGGAAATACAGTTGCTCCCCCACTGAAGAAAAAGCTCACCACAGCTCAGAGCTTTCCACCTTCACTCAAACCACAAGAAGTCATATAAAAAGTCACAGGTCAAAGGCAGCCCTGTGAGCTGCTGCTCCTCACAGACAGATTTGCTCCTGCGCTGCTGTGCCCTCATTAATCAGCTCAGTAGGGCAGGAGGGGAGTTGCTGCGTCTTGTGAATCAAGAGAGGCAGTTTGGGGATAAAATGGGGCTTTCTTGTTAGTGAAAGAAGAACAAAAGATGGGTCCAGAGCTGCAAAAGCACTGAAATAGGTCAGTGTGATTTGAAAATAAATTTCTGGGGATTTCCTTAAACGTTCTTTCCCGTTTGAAATCAGGGAACGTTAAGGAGCAATTTCTGTTTGGGTATAAGGCACCACAGTAAAGCACATTTTGGAAACAGGGAAGGTGCTAAAATGGGCCGAGGGTTTTTTAGAAACATAAAGAAGGAAGAGGAATAAGAATACAGCAGGAGCATCAGCTGTTGATAGATAAAGTGGAGCAGTCCTTTTGCAGCCCTTCCCAGTTCATCTCTCCCTGGAGTGGGCTGAGCCAGCAGCACCAATCCAGCCCCAAACACCCTGCACAGCACCCTCCTTCTCCTGGAGCACGGATAACAGCCTTTCCTTTGATTTCCCAGGGGAAAAAGAAGAGACGAACACGGGAAAAGCAGCAAGATTCCAACTCAGGTAAACGCGTGTGTGGGGTGGCTGTCCCTGCATTCCCGCTCAGAGGGGATAAACCAAAGCAGTTGTTGTGTTTTACCATGTTTTCCTTTATTCTCCTGAGCTTAACGAGAGAAACACACATTTATTATATTTTTTAAGAAATGGCAAATTAACATTTCTGTGACTTTTTCATGGACGTGTTTGAATTAGAAGATGGGGAGTGTGTGAAAGCGGGAAAGATTAGATTTTGGCGAGTGTGTAACTTCATATAAACTATCACTAAACTTAATCTATTGAAAACATCCAGGGCACATCCCCCCATCAGTGTCATCAATTGAAGAAAGCTCTCAAATGCATCAGGAGTGTGGGTGGGATGAAATGCAGTGACAGGATTGAAGATCACCCATGGGGCTACCCCAAGTTTGGTTTTCTTTTCAAAGTAACCAAGGTTGAAGCAAAGTCATACTAAAACCCAGTACCAGCTGCCTCCCTGCACCCCAGTGCTGATGAGGAAAGGCCCCTTTGACAGATTTCAGACATATCCCCATCATCCAAAGCTATTCCTGGGCTGATTTCTGAAGTATTTCTGCCATATCAGGAACAAATAATATCTGTACCAATAAATATTTGTTATAAACCATCAAGAGACTGTCCTTGCCCACTGTGGCATCACGTATACATGAAGTTAGACTGTTTTTCTCAGTGTCTCCATTCTGGGATTGCCTATAGAGTCACAAAGAGCTTTTCCCACACTCCAGCTCACCAGTCCATTACTGCTCATTGCTCTTACTTCTGGATGAAACTGTGCCATCCATATGATAAGCTATTGGCTATCTAAGCAAATTTATTAATTTAATGAATCACCACTGGATGACATCTTCAAATTGTCCCTAAAAAGCAGTTCCATGACTGTGTCGCAGTTATATCTTCACTTTAATTAACACTACTGATCTTAGTGTCTAGACTGATAAAGGGAATACAAGTTTTCAGGTTTATATGTAGTGTGTATATATATTTATATATCCCTATATATGTCCTGTCTGTGTGATACAAAAATGATAACGGATTGAAACCAACTGCTGGTCACACACAACAGCCTTCCTGAGAGAGGGAGGCTGAATCCAGCACAGAAATGTGCTGTTCAAATCCCATTTACAGCACTAGAGAAAAACAGGATGTGCCTGAAAGCAAATAGGGCTTCACCCTAATGAGTCCCATAATTAAACAGTAAAACTGCAACATTTTAGAAAGGCCATGGAGAAGAGTTTTTCCATTGAAACTGGAAGGGGAATGATGGGGGGGACAGAGTGGAATAACCTGGCCTAGGTCTCCTCGGTGCTAACTCTGCTTTCAGCTGCTTCTGCAACGTTTCCTCCTCTTTCTTCTGTGCGCAGTCCGAGCTCGCTGGCAGCCCTGGCTGTCGCTGCTGGGAAGGCAGGGAGCAGGTAAGGATGCAGACACAGGAGCCAGGTAGCGCCTCTGGGATTTGGCAGCATCTCCAAACTTAAGAAATTCGAAGGTCCGTGGATTTCCCCGTAATTGCCCACGTTTCCCAGAGCTGTTTCCCAAACCTCCTCCTCCAGCTGCCAGCAGTGATCACCGATATTTGCCTAACGATCACTTTTTTCCAGGAGAGGTGGTGCCAGCAGGAAAAAAAAAAATGGGATTGTAGTCTGTTAGTCGTGTGTTCAAGTGGCTAAAATGATGTTGCCTCTTTTCTTCCTCCTGCTCCTCCTCCTCTTTGTGCCTCTGCCTTGCCCATTCTCGCCGCGCATGCTTCTGTGTTCAGATCCTGCCTCTCCTAAGAAATGCAGAGCTCGCTTTGGCCTCAACCAACAAACGGACTGGTGCGGCCCGTGCAGGTGTGTATCGGCATCTCCTCGCTGCTGGGGTGCTCCTGGGACAGTGGGTGCAGCTCCAGGGTCCTCCCGGTGCCGGCGGGGGCAGCTCCGGCCGGGCGGGGATGGGTGTTCCCTGGGTGTTCCCTGGGTGTTCCCTGGGTGTTCTCTGGGCATCCTCCGGAGCTGCTGCCTGAGCTGCAGGGGTCAGGCTGCACGCTGGGTTTCTCACACCCCCGGGGCAGTGTTGGTGTAGTGCTGTACATATTCCTCAGCTGATGGAATTCCCTGGTCTTAAAGGCTTATTTCCAGGGTGGAGACCTCTGTGACCCTGATGTGGGGCTTTTCCCCCCCCCCCCCCCGTTAGTGATTTCCAATCACATAAACAGCACCCTAGGGCCAGCAGTGAGGAGTTAGTGGGTTTCTTTTTCCCATTTATACTGGGCTAACCATGTATTTCAGGATCCAGCTCTTCCTGACCCTTAAATTTCGCAGTACCCACCATGGGTGGGGTGGGACAGCCTCGAGCAGCAAAACAGTGCAGTGCCCTGCCCCTCAGGCTTCCAGGGAATGGACATGGCCAGGAGATAGGAAAGTTCAGTGCATCAACCAAGTACTGCCTGGCTCAGGGGACTGCAAAGGCAGCCAGGCAGAAAAAGCTCCGTCGGGGCTTCTGGACCTGGGCACTGGAGCACAGGGAGGCTCCAGCCTGGACAGAGGTCTGTGATTCACAGCACATTTTTATACCAATGCATTGAGAACTGTAGGAAAAGCTGGAAGTAAAGTATTGCTTGATGTGCTTAATGCAGCTTGAAGTGACTGAAATCATTCAGTGCACCCAAATCTGGCCCAGACTTTGCTGCACCCCGAGCTCTGGTCCCTGTGGCTGAGCCCCAGGTGAGCTCCCCTCTTGCATCTCGGGGTGCCACAACAGCAGAGCTCCCTGCTCACCTTTTACACCCCAGATAGTGTCATCACGCACCATTTTTTAACTGATTGAGAATCTGGACAGAGCTCCCTTAGTGTCTCATGAATACCTGAATGTCCAGAGGGAGCTGTTGGAGGCCCCCATCCCTCCTGCAGCCAGGCTGAGCACCCTGTGCCTCTGTGGGCAGTTCCTCCACCTTTGCTCTGCCTCCACTGCAACTCTGAATTCAGCTTCTCCTCTGCACGGCTTCCCAATTAACACAGGCTGCTGGAGTGCTCAGAGACCTTGGCATGCTCTTACTGTGTCCCCTGTGTAACCAAACCCTGGTCAGCCAGAGCTGCTCTGCAATTCCTGCACTAACACTCCAGGGCTCTTGTCCTGCCTGCTCTGCTCACCTGCAGAGAACAACTTCCCCAGGAGGGTTTCCATCCACAGGAGAGGTTACCTGGTTAAGACGGGGTGTTGCTGCTTCAGAGCTTTCACCCTCTCCCTCACACCCTGGACAAACACTCCAGGGTGCTGTAGTTCCTACAGGGAGAGGGATAAGTTGCTAAAAGGAGGGAGATAAACCCCTTTAGCTGTGTACCATCCCCCTCAGCATAACCCACGGACTGGTCCATTATCAGCAGTCTGTAGTATCACACCTGCTCTTTTCTCCCCATTGCTGTAAATCAGATCAATGAATTGATGGACAGATTCGTGTCATCTCAAACAGGTCGTTGAAACTCCATCCTGCAGCTACTCCTGAGGTGTCTGTGGGAAACACAGCTCCTCCTCAGGCCTGTCTGCCCTGGGGAATTACCACCCGTGGAAAATACCCTGCGAGTTAAAGCCAGGCCGTTGTGTTTCTATCGCATTAATTGGGTCACCACGGCTAACGATGGCACTGACAGCAGTAACAGCACTGCTCCTGTTCACATCCAGTGAAAGTCATGTTTAATACTGGACTAGTTCATACACATTCTCACACTGTCTGGTTTTTCATTAGGGAGATCAAAGAAAGGTGTGTGCCCGCATTAGCGAGTTCTCATTTGATCTGTTTTCCTCAAATGAGACAGCCAAGGCAGGGAGCTGGGTGGGAGGAAGATGTTCTTCTACCTGTTTTAGCTGTAAAGTCATTAATGCCATCTCCAGCAGAGGAATTGTCCCCTCGCTACTGTTAAGGTGACATCTTGAGGGCTCTTTTGTTTGAGGATCTGTGCAGAGGTGCTCAAGGACCCACAGCAAGTGACATGAGGGATCTGTCACATGGAGAGAAGGAAAACCAGCTCAACAGAGTGTGTAAAAGACAAAGCAGTGTGAGGGACTGACTGGACAGCCAGGGGTAGTTAAAACAATCAGGTGCATGAGATGACCTCATGGAGTCATCTCATGCACCATCAGGTGCATGGAGTTCAGGGTAAACACTGAACAGAACTGTCCAGGGATGTGGAGGAATCGTGTCCTAAACCAGCTACAGCAAGAATGATGTGTGACTTGGATTTTTGAGACCCCCAAATCGTGACATCCAAACAAATGGGAAACCTGAGCATCTTCTCCAGGAGGGATGAGGGGAGGCTGGTCCTTGCTCTGAGGTGCTGCTGTCTTCAGGACCTTCCCAGTCCCAGTGGGCTTCTTACCAGAAGAGCAGGGCTGGGGGAGGAGAGCTGCCATGGGGTACTTCCTGGAAAAACCCCTTTGGTCAGTGAATCCTTCCCCAGCTGCTGAGCTCTGTGTGTCACACTCCACAGAATGGGAGTGTGGAACTGAGTCTGGCACCATTGCAGGGCCACTCAGGTCCTGCTGCCAAATCTGTCATTTTGTACCTGGACTGCTCCAGCATCCAAAGCAACACCTCAGACAGCCTCTGACCACCTCCAGCCAGTCCCAGGCCATTTCCTTCCCTCCTCCTGAACCTCTGTTGAGCACTTTCCACTCAGCTGCATCACTGAGTTGTTCTTGGAGGTGGGAGTGTCTGGGAAATACTTAGAGATGCACAAGTAGCTGAGAGCAGGGGCTCCTGCTGCCAAAAGAAAAGCTGAGAGCTCAGACCAGGTTGGACAAGGCTTGGAGCAACCTGGTCTAGTGGAGTGACCCTGCCCATGGCACAGGGTTGAAACAGGATGAGCTTTATGGTCCCTTCCAACCCAAACCAGTAGATGATACTGTGCACAAGTCCAGGAAAGTGCTGGGAAATGGGCTCTTGGAACCTTCAGATTTTGGGACGAGAAAAGCCAGGACTGGTGTGAAGGGCAGTGTCCCACCCAGCACTGCTGAGCACAGGGGTGTGACTGCCCCCTGGCACCAGCACACGTGTGTCCCGTGGGCTCTGTGGGGAGGGGTGACCCCGGGGGGGCAGTGCTTTGGTCCTGAACTCGTGAGGTGGTCACCCCACACAGCCTCCCGGAATTTGAAGAGCCGGGGTGGTGGCTGGTGAGGAGTGACCTCCTGGGCTGCTTTTAATTCTTGTTTGGGGCTTTATTACTTTTATCGTGTTTAGTATTATTATTTATATTCTTATTTTATTATTTTATATTGCTCCGCTTTTTATTATTATTTTCATTTTGCGGGTTTTATTTTTATTATTATTTTGGGGTTTATTATTTCTCTTTTTTCTATTTTCATTTTTATTACTGTTTTTTTATTTTGGTTTCATGACCTCCTCCTCTCCCCACGTTACTGGCAAACCCCTTTCCCTTGGAACCCTTTTCCCTTCAAACCCTATTTCCTTCGAACCCTTCTCCCTTCAAACCCTGTTCCCTTGGAACCCTTTTTCTTTGAACCCTTTCCCTTGGAATGCTTTTACCTTTGAACCCTTTTCCCTTGGAACCCTTTCCCTTCAAACCCTTTCCCTTAAAACCCTTTTCCTTTGGAACCCTTTTCCTTCGAACCCTTTCCCTTGGAACGCTTTTCCCTTTAAACCCCTTTCCCTTGGAACCCTTTCCCTTGGAACCTTCTCCCTACAAACCATTTTCCTTTGAACCCTCTCCCTTCGAACTCTCTCCCTGTGAACCCTTTCCCTATGAACCCTTTCCCTCGGACCCTTTCCCTTGGATCCTTTCCCGGCGCCTCCTGGCGGTGTCCCCGCAGCGCTGCAGCACCGGGGCTGCCGGTGACCCCCCCGTCACTGACCGAGCCCTCTCTCCCCGCTGTTCCAGGAGGAAAAAGAAGTGCATTCGGTACCTACAAGGAGAAGGACGCTGTGCCAGCCCAGTTTCTTCCGATGGAAGTGCTATAGACTCGCCTCCATCCCCTCCGGACGCACTCCGATGCCTCCCCTCCGCCTTCCCGTCAGAGCAGCTCGCAGCCCCCGCCGACCCCGCGCACCGCGACCAGCCCGACCCCCGCCCGGTGCCCGCGCAGCTCCCGCCCGCCTCCGGCCCCTCCAGACCCGGCTCCGGCCCCTCCAGACCCGGCTCCCGGCGCTCCGCGGCCGCGTCCCCCGCGCACAGCCGCGCCCCCGCGGGGACATAGTCCCTGCCCGCCCGCCCGGCTCCTCCGGACAAGGACCAGGGGCCCGGCCGAACCCCCAGCTCACCGTCAAACACGCAACGGGATGACCCTGAGGATGATGGAAAAACTCCTCTGGTTGGGGTTGGTTGTTTTTGGAGGGGGCGGGTGATAAAGGTAGAAAAGCGATTTCAAAAAAAAAAAAAAAATTTCAAAAATAAGTACTTGCCAAAATTTAAAGTGCTAATGAGTAAACAAGCCTTTTGTCCCTGCCCTGTGCTGCTTTTTTTGTTTTGTTTGGGGTTTTGTTTTGTTTTTTTACTGCATTATCTGGCAGTGTGGCAGAGAGCAGAGCCCAGTCCCCAGCTTGCTGCTGTAGGTGGTAGGTGCTGTCCATCTAACCCTGGCTTCCAGCCCTGCCCTCTGAGCTGCTTCAAAGTGTAGTCACTCACGGATCTCTCCCAGCCATTCCACCATGGAGCTGGAAAAGCTGGAATAGGAGCGTTTTTTAAAAGCCCTTCTGTCTGAAAAGTAACTGTAGCGGTGCCAGTGCTCTGATCTGACCGGGTTCATAAAGAAATTAAATACTTCAACCAACCAGGGGAATTTTTTACACTTCTTGTTTGAGAACAGGAAGATACTGTTTACAGGCAACACAGACGTGTCCCATTCCACGGTGGTGCAGCACCAGCAGAAGGAGCATGGACTGACCCCAGGAAGGGCTGATGGTCACTGGGGGCACTGGTCAGGGGCAGGGTCTCCCTGGCTGTTAGAGATTGTCTTCTGCAGATGAGGACCGTCAGAAATCCCACCAGACAGGCTGGGCAAAGCCTCAGAAATCCCTGTGTTGATGCTGCAGGCCCTGACTGACTGTGCCCCCCCCAGGGGCGGCCCTGGCAGGGTGGGCCCTGGGAAAGGCCCTGAGGATCCCACTGGCCCAGGCGGCCCCTCCTGCTGAGCAGAGGCTCTGGGGAGAGGGGTGAGCTCTGCCCCAGCACAGCTCTGCCAGCCCCGGGACAGCAGCACCGCCCTGCCCTTGGCTGCAGGCCAAGTCTGTCCGTGCCCTCGGTGAGATCAGAACCCTGCTTTTCATGATTCAGTGTGTAACTTTTTAAAAAACCGTTATTCTAGCTTTTTCTGAAAGATTCTCCCTCCACCCCCATGACGACACCAAATGTTGATGTGTTCTCTCCAGCTTGAAAACGTTTGCCGGTTTCTGGTGTTGTATTTATATTTTGAGTTTGATAAACAAAAAACACTGTGGACGGATTATGATCTCCCCGAACTGGTGTAAATCCCAAATAATTCCAAGTTCTGGATTTACTTCAGGTTTACAGACTTCTCACAGAGGTCACAATCTAGTCCAGTGCAATTTTTTTTCCTGCTTGAAAGAAATATATTCCAGACTGCTGAAGAGAAAAATGACACCACACAAAGGAAGAGGGGGGTCTATTTTTTTCCTATTTGATAGATAGGTTCTGGAGTACTGAATACAAATTATGTAGTAATATTATTGTAGAACTGCGAGAAATTTAAGATGACCTTTATAATGTACAAAATATTTTTATATTTTTTTCCTTAACGCAAAAACACAAACCCTAATTTTTTACATTGGACTAAACATAACTTTTTAAACAAGTTTACGCCTCAAAGATTTAAAATTTAAAAAAAAAAAAAAAAAAAAAAAAGCCAAACCTGATTAGTCTGTAGAGCAGCTTTGGGTTTATTCCCTTTATTTAGGTAGTTTTGCTTACAGCAGTATAGACTTTTTTTTCTGGTTTTAGTTTAGAAGATCTAAACCTATTGCTTTATTCCTCTCCTGTGTAAATGTAACTTCAGAAGCACTGACTGAAAGCTACGTGCACAAACCTGATGAGTTTGCAAAGAGTCATTTTAAAGTTTGAACCATTTTAGCCCTCAGAGAAGTAGCATTACCTGACCCAATGCCACCTGTACTGACTGCACTCACAGGGTTAATTACATAGCACTAGATCAATATGCAATCTGCTCATTTTAAATTATTTTAGCAAGCTTAGCCAACAGCATGTTCCAGTGCTGAACAGAGGAACTCAGCAGACTTTTGCCAGATCTGACATGGTCTCTCCAATCACTTGATTTAAAAAAGAAACAAGACAAAGTGTTTTTTTTAAAAAATGGCCATGTCTCAGCTCAGCATCTGTTGCTGTGAGCCCCTCTGCTGTAAGGTGCTGTACAAGGGAACACCACAGACAACAGACCAGCCCCACACCGGGTGTAAAGCTGGTGTAACTCAACACCCCACTGGTACTCGGTGGTGGGATGGAAGATGGAACTTAGCAGCAAAGCAAAGGCAGGTGTAAAGGAAAAGCAGATGGGTGTGAGTAAGAGCAGAGGGAGCTGAGGGGAAGGCCCTGATCAGTATTAATCTGGCCGAGGAGGAGGCAGCGCGAGCACCCAGAGCAGCCCTCACTCATTTCACACTCTGGGACTTTCTCCCATTATTTCAAGGCTCCTCTGGCCCCTCCTCGGTGTTGTGGTCCCTGCCCCGACCAGCCAGAGGCCTGTCTGCATTACAGCCTCCTCTCATCCTTATTCCACCCCACTGCTGCCAAATCTCCTTAGTGGAAGTACCACTCCCCTCTCCAGGAGCCCTTCCTCGTGCCCTGGTGGCACAGAAGCATTTCCAGAACTGGAGCACTTACACCCATCTCCACCACAGACTCATCCTGCCCGTGCTCTGCTCTGTACATACAGGTTACAGCCAGACTGACCCACAGGATAAACTCAGAACCCCCCCTTGTGATATGCTGTAATCAGTTCATACTGGGGTAACAGAAAATTGACTTATTTTTATCCCAAAACACAGAAGAGATATCTTCTAAGCTGCCCCTTTCCAAGACAAAACAGCACAACTGACTTCTGTTCCATGCCCCACAGCTGATAACTGATGCCAAAACAAAGTTACTCTTATTAATACCAAAAAAAGTGTCTTTAGAACTGCTATATGAAGTGTTGCTATTTTGTGTTAATATTCTTTTTTAATAGAAGGAAAACTTTGCCCTTACATTTTTATCTCAACAAGAATTTTTTAGTTATTTTACAGCAATTTTAACTCTTCCTGAAATACACATCTGAATTCCCGAAATCAGTTTGAATGTAGAAGTCATGGAAGTACCACTTCATTAAACCAAGTAAAATCACTGTATGTATGTAGCAGGGATAAATGTTTTGCAGCTGTACTTTCATTTGTCCAATGACTATCCATCATTTGTTGTAATTTTTTTACTTCACTGAGTTTGTATTTTTTGGCTTTTATGTTCAAAATATGTTTATAGCTTTATAAATAAAGTAATTGCCAGACTGGCTGTTCAAGAGAGGCCACTGGAAATTATAATCCTCTCAAACTCTCAAATAACTATTTCTTAGCATTCAAGAGGATTCCTGCTTGCCTTTTTTTTTTTCCCTTCAGCATTTGCATGTATGAATAGTTTTTAGAATAACTGCCAGTAGTCTTCAATGGGTAAGACTGCAATAGTAGAGCAAGAGTAAAAAGAAATACACCTTCTTCTACAATCCCTATTGATACCCAGCCTTCCCCCACAATTAATCCCTTTAGCCAAGAGAAGCCTGATCCCTGATCATGCCATGACTTTAAAAAAAAAAAAAAAATAAAGTTAAGGAAGCACCATGCAAGTTAAACAGCAACAGAAAGTTTAACAGTGGGAAATCAGTGTCTCCCCCTCTCTAGAATGTCAGAGTTCCCAGGCAGTGTCTGTTGGAGCAGCAGGCAGGGAACAGGCTCAGCTGAAACAGGAAACACAAGGCAGCCCAAGCTGTCTCAGCACCTCCCCCGTGTCCTTCCCTACAGCACAGCATAATGTCACTGGAGTGGGTGAGACAACTGAGAGATTCAAAAAAACCCAAAGTTGTCCTGCTGCCATCCCGGCCAGGCAGCTACAGAATGTGAATCTGGCTGAAGCCTGAGTCACTACTACAGGGGAATTTCAATTAGAGAAAATAACCAGGATGGAATCCTAACTACCTACTAAGAGTATTAAAAATCTGTCAAAGCTGCAGAATGCCTTGAGCACAGAGCAGCCCTATCCTGCACCTCCACAGCTGCCTCAGGGTCATCAGCCACATGTCACAGCCTGGAGCTTCAGCAGAGGCTCCTGGGCTGCAGCGTTTGGCCACCACGGCTTGGGCTTTAGGCCAGCTGCTCTAAGAACTGCCAGCTTTTATCCAGGTGTGGTCATGGCATGGCAAACAAAGTACAAGCAATGCAATGAGGAAGAAAACTGCCTCTTCCTTATCCTACAGCACCCTGAGGCCTCGTGCAAGGCGGCGGCTGCTGACACACACGGACACTGTCTCATGACAAGCACCTGAAGGAATTCACACAGGTTCCTACCAAACACAATTACAGGACAGGCTTCTGCATGAGCCACACAGCACTCTGAGGGTGAACTGCAATACTCTGGAGCAGTACACACACGGATTTATTTCTTGTAAGAATCCAGGATAAACTGAATATTCAACTGCAGCCACAGAAACGTCACGCAAAGGTTTTTCTCTGGGAGCACTTTTAAACTGAGGTGTATTGTTTGCAATACAGGCTGCTGGAAAGGCTTCAGCATGTCCAGGAGCAGCAGTGGAGTATTTTCTGCCCACTGACAATATCTAAGACACCCACACAATACACAGCAGCACAAAGGCAGGCCCAGCACCTCAGGAGTAAGCAGATGTGAGCAGCAGCTGCATCCAAAGCTTGGGTTTGAATGCTGCTTTAGAGAAAGTTATTAATGCTTTCAGAATGGTTACATCAAGGACTATCTAAAAGTTAGTAAGCATCAAAAAACATATCCATCTGGATATTTAACCATCACTCAAATTCATCTGAAAGTTGCCCACTGTCCTGCATTAGTCATTTAACAGAATCTTTACATCTGCTTTATTCCAATCACCCACTGCCTCAGTGCTGTTATTTGTACACTCAGAAAGAAGTGGCAGCAAGATTGTCTAGTTCCAAATAACTAGGACCGTTTGCAAACGAAAGTTTAAAAGCCCTTTATTAATTCAGAAGTGAAACACCGATATTTAAAGTGAGATAAGTATGTTTATTAAGGTTCATTCTACTCTAAGGTTTATACAGAGAATGGAATGCAATACAAGCTAAGAGCACACCTCAAAGATCTACCACACAACCATCCCCTACTCCCTATAAGGGAACTGTAAAAAAAAAAATAAAATAAAAATCAGAAAACCAGTTACTGTTTAACTAGTTGCAAGTGGCTTTGTCCAAAGAAGTTAAGCTTGATATTGCATTAGCTTTGTATGCAATAATTAAGTCTCTACAAGCTGAAGTATCACATACAGAGGCATAAGATTTCCTGTGGACACATGAAACCATGTTTTCAAGAGCTACATCACAAGGGTTCTTTAAAACTGCCTAAAAACCAGCCACTAATGGCATGCACAGGTCAATAATATTAACTTTGGTAATGTCAGTCATTTTTGGTCAAATCTGGGTTCCACTTTTAACAGTAACATGTATAAAAACACACCCATCCTGTGCATAAAGCAACACACTTTATTTGCTACCAGCTAGAGGCAGGTCTTCAAGACATGGCTGAAGTATTCAAATTTAGCTGTCAGGAGCTTGCTTAGTTCAAGATCACATTTTCACTAGTCTATAAGGCAAGACTAACAGGACAAGCAAGTGGTCAAATATTTAATTTTTTTTTTGTTTAAATGCAGGACAAGAACCATCTTGAAAATTATATAGCTTTAAGTAACACTAATTTTTTTCCACCATGTTTTTGGAAGAAATCCAGTAACTTTTTTTTACATTACCTAGTTCCCCAAGACACACTCTAGTTTGGTTTTCTTTCTGAAACTATCAATACCCTGTAAATACAAGTGTTTTGCTCTTCTTGAGGAAGAAGTCATAGATGTTTTTATTTACAACGGAGTCAATCCTCAGCACTGTAACTGGACTTGAATAGTTTAAAAGTGTAATGAAAATGATAACCTTAAGTGCTACTTCCCATACAGAATCCACACTTAATTCAATTTTATTCTTTGCAAAGTAAAAAGACATCCAATTACGCTAGTAAAAACTCAGAAGATTTAGATTTGTACTCAAAAAACCACTACACATGCAAAGGGAACAATATCCTGCTAACACAACTTCATTTGCTGCTGCATTTGTCTAATATTAACAATTATGAACAGGGCAGTGCAACTAGTATTTGGAACAATCCTTACAGTGTTCGAGTATCAGGCACAAATACTTCACTTCTCTTCACACCACTGGTTCTCTTTACGTACCTGAAAGAACAGTTTAAATGTTAATATGTTGCACTGAACTCCTAAGAGTTGGCTGTCAATTCCCATAAACATTGAGGATTATTTCCTGCAGGGAGGCATCAACTTGGAGCAGCTTTAACTCTTCATGCAGGGTTTGCAATTAGAAAGTCAGTCTTCCAAACTGACCTTTTTATCAATGTAAGCCAGGAAACTTATGCCTATATTTGAGCAACACTGGGAAATTTTCCACCAAGCAAAGCAAGTGGATTAGTTTAAGTCTAAGTTGCTCGTTTCATGACATAGCACTGAAGACAAATCCAAGTGTCCAGTCACTGCCTGTGTATTTAACCAAGGCATCTTATTCTGCTCTTTCTCAGCT